CACAGTCATTACTGAAATAGAAACAGCTGTGTAGGAGGCTTAAAACTGGGTGAGGAACAGCCAAACACTGCTACTAAGGTGAGCTTGTGGAAGACAGTTTCATGTTGCAGGTCTTACACCATGGCAAGACTAAGCACAGCAACAAGGCACAAGGTAGTTATATAGATAAGTTTATATATATATATATATATATATATATATATATATATATATACACACACACACTGTAGATGGATAGATACTGTAGATAAATAGACATAAAAATACTTACGATCTAAGCATACAAGAATGGTATCCCTTTCTAGCTGTGTCACATGAACAACATCTGTCTGTGGGGTATCTGAAGATAAAGAATAAAATGTTACTAGTGTGGTATAGGCCGAGGAAAGAAGGGATGCAGAAATATAAAACAATATGTACTAACCTGTTTCTGTGAACCAAGAAGATGTGGAATTGGGATTCAGGGTCTCAAATTTCACAACCTGGTTAAAGTCTGTGCCCTTGCTGACACTTACACAAACTAAAGGAAACTCCTGTTCCGGTACCACCAGCATTTCCAAAACCATGAGTGGGCACGGCAAGGGGAAGTCTATATGCTGTATACAAACATGAATAAAATATTGAGAATGCAACAATAAACTAAATATGTATAATTAAACAATGAGCCTTAATTAATATGCAAATTTTTTACTTTCTAATTTTTATAATTTTCAATAACAAAAAAAAAAAAGAAAAAGAAAAAGGAAATGCACTTATCCACCGCAAGAAATTCAGTCTCATCTCTCATCAATTTGGAATGAGTCAAAAAGTTTATTATGATTTCTGATAGCTACATTTTTTGTATGCTCTTTACCACCTTGTTAAAATGGCAATGTGTTTTCAAACCTATAAATAAACACATTCAACAGGCTGGAATAAAAATTGTAAAGAAACGTTTCGCTACTTTGCAGTCACACGCAATCAACACTAGCTCATCTTTTATTTTATACAAAAAAAAAGGAGGATTAAAGTGTGTGTGCGCATGTGCAATAAAATTAATTTTAGTGTTTTTTTCTGAAATATAGATATGATAAACAGTTGTGCAAATATCATGCAGTTTGTAGCCTACACCATTTTATTCTACAGGGCCTCTGCATTCAGAATATATATAGGTTCTTGGGGTTTAAGTAATTTTTTTAGCCAAAACAGCACACTTTAACATGTATGTAAAAAAGGAAAAACTGCTCTAGGTGGGAAATGTTTATAAATGACCTTCCCCTCTGCCCTCCTTCCCCCACCAGCTTGTTGACATGAAAAGTTAACTCCTGCAGCTCCCACCCTCCATCCAGTACTGTGCTGCCTCCCACTCTCCACATCTATTGTAGGAGATTCCTACCTACACACTGCTATGTTTATGTTGGGGAACAATGTGAAGGGGGCAAAGAATACTGCTGGCAGGGCAGAGAAAGTTGTTATAGGGGCCAGAGGAGACTGCTTTATAGGGACACCGCTATGGGGGGGGGGGGGGGGGCGACTCTACAGTGTGTGTGTGTGGGCAGAGGATAATACTGTGTGGGAGCAGAGTTCACTACTGTGTATGGGGGAGGCATTACTGTGGAGGGTGAGAGGACACTACAGTGACACCTTATGTCTTCTTCATGGCATCTTTTTATTAGGGGCTTTATATTTGTATTTTTTTTTTAAGAGTGCTGGGGATGGGGATCTTGTTGTCCAGGTATATCTCAACCTCTGAAAGGTTGCGTACCCCTGCTCTAAGCCTAACATCTATAGCAGCTGCTGGTGATTCCATAGAAGTAACAGAATCTGGCAAGGATTTGTGAGATCTTTCATTAGATAAAGTTTCCACAGCTGAAGGCTCAGAGGCCAATAAGGATGCAGACAGGTCAGATATTGACTCTGCAGGGAAAGACGTAGTGATATTTTAATAGCCTTCGTGGTCAGAGCCTGCAATCAAGTACTATTTAGCCCATAACAATGAGGAGGGGACCACTCCCAACAATATAGGGGGGAACCTCAAAGAATAGAGTGGATTAGCTAGGCATAGTGTTCCAAGTTGTAGGTATCTAGCTCCAGGGAGGGAGCAATGCATGTCTCCCCAGGAGGTAGCAATAGCTTTGTAAACACAGACTACATAGGATAGGTAGGGGTCAGGCACACAGGGGGGCATAAATCCTCATAAGTTCCCCAGGAAGGGAAAAATCCTGCTTCCACAATCAGTGAGGAGCCTCAATGCACCCTGCATCCACCTGTATGCTGAAGGACTAAGGAGCTCTGAGTCTTCAGTGCATGTGTTTCCCAGGATCTCAACACCATGAAAATCGTTCTGCATTCCAGTGACATCAGTGATACCGGGCATGGCATCATGATGGCAAAGGGAAAAAAATCAACAGTATCCGTCGGCCATTCCAAGCCATCCAAGTTTGATCCTCAGATGATAAAACATGGGTACCTGCCCTGTGACAGGCTGCTTCCCACCAGTAAAGACACTGTCAGCTTGGGGTGGGGACACTGTGCAATACGTTGCTCAGCCATATGTGCACTCCATGAGATGTTACACAAGTTCCCCCAATCCAGGATAAGGCTGGTACAGCCAAACCCACATGTAGTAAGGATCTGCATGAGCTTGTTGGATGATCTGGGGGGATCCAGATTATCCAGGCTGTCACTCAGATCAGAAGTTGGTTGAGGTTCCAAAAAAAAAAAAAGGATTCCCTGATACACAAAGATAAATTGTGGTTGCGTTTCACTTTTGAAGATGGGGCTCATCTTAGAGCAGGGCTTGACAAATCCCAGGCGTCAGATCTCAATGGCGATTAGAAGTAGACTTCTACGGGAAGTCGCCTCCCATAGACTTCAATGGGAAACCGCCTCCCATAGACTTCAATGGGAAACCGCCTCCCATAGACTTCAATGGGAAACCGCCTCCCATAGACTTCAATGGGAAACCGCCTCCCATAGACTTCAATGGGAAACCGCCTCCCATAGACTTCAATGGGAAACCGCCTCCCATAGACTTCAATGGGAAACCGCCTCCCATAGACTTCAATGGGAAACCGCCTCCCATAGACTTCAATGGGAAAATGCCTCCCATAGACTTCAATGGGAAAACGCCTCCTACAGACTTCAATGGGAAAATGTCTCCCACAGACTTCAATGGGAAAATGTCTCCCACAGACTTCAATGGGAAAATGCCTCCCACAGACTTCAATGGGAAAATGCCTCCCACAGACTTCAATGGGAAAATGCCTCCCACAGACTTCAATGGGAAAATGCCTCCCACAGACTTCAATGGGAAAATGCCTCCCATAGACTTCAATGGGAAAATGCCTCCCATAGACTTCAATGGGAAAATGCCTCCCATAGACTTCAATGGGAAAATGCCTCCCATAGACTTCAATGGGAAAATGCCTCCCATAGACTTCAATGGGAAAATGCCTCCCATAGACTTCAATGGGAAAATGCCTCCCATAGACTTCAATGGGAAATGCCTCCCATAGACTTCAAGGAGAAAACTCCTCCCATAGACTTCAATGGGAAAACTCCTGTCAATAGCAATCCTATGTGTACACTTATCTCTGCATGCCACTCTACTCTATCGCTTGCGAGTCTGGAATGCACCGCCACAAACTCGGACAGGGCCCTTTTCATAGTGGTACTCAAAACACAATGTGTGTGGATCGCATCTGTGTGAACCACCTCAATAGGAATACAAAATATCTAACCTGTCAAGCGAATCTGTGAGTTTCAAAATAAATCCAGAATTGCATGTGTGTGAACCAGGGAGGTTCCACTCACACTTGGGTGTTTTGGGATCACAGCAAAAATCGCTGTAATAGCAAAACACATTTTCAGGTGCCACTATTTTCAGTGGCGCCTAAAACGTGGTGCGGTTTTACTGTGATTGTCGCATGGCCCGGGCGCTGACAACCCACGCTACGCTAAAACCCCCCCAAAAATCTGGCTCCTAACTTTTTTTTAGCTGGCTCCTAGATTCAAAGAAAATTTGTCAAGCCCTATCTTAGAGTTCCATAAAATAAAACTACAATGAAGCACCAAAAAAAAAAATTCCAAAGAAGATACTCTGCTTCCAGTGCAGGGTATCAGAGAAGAAAAGTGATGATCGATCCAGAAATGCACACCACTTCTGAATAGTTGTGTCAAAGTGAACTACCCTCCATCAGAAGAGAGAGGTTCACTCCTACCCCCATGAAATGGGTCATGAACAGCCTTTGACATATGAAGAGTAATCATGGAGGAGGGCAAAAGTGTGGCTTCCTGTTCAAACACAGGCACAATATGTGTAAATGAGACAAACCCCCATATTACAGACTGAATCAGTACCACTTGAATCAGTGACTCAGAATACACTATATTGCCAAAAGTATTGGGACACCTGGTTTTACACGCATCCCAGTCTTAGTGCGTGGGGTTCAATATTGAGTTGGCCAACCCTTTGCACAGCTATAACAGCTTCAACTCTTCTGGGAAGGCTGTCCACAAGGTTTAGGAGTGTGCCTATTGGAATGTTTGACCATTCTTCTGAAAGCGCATTTGTGAGGTCAGACACGGACGTCGGACGAGAAGGCCTGGCTCGCTGTCTCGACTAATTCAACCGAAGGGTGTTCTATTGGGTTGAAACCAGTCAAGTTCCTCCACCCATGTCTTTATGGACCTTGCTTTGTGCAATTGTGCGTAGTCATGTTGGAACAGGCAGAGGCCATCCGCAAACTGTTCCCACAAGGTTGGGAGCATGAAATTGTCCAAAATGTCTTGCTGACGCCTTAAGAGTTCCCTTCACTGGAACTAAGGGGCCAAGCCCAACCCCTGAAAAACAACCCCACACCATAATCCCCCCTCCACCAAACTTTACATTTGGCACAATGCAGTCAGGCAAGTACCATTCTCCTGGCAACCACCAAACCCAGACACAACCATCAAATTGCCAGACAGAGAAGCAGGATTCGTCACTCCAGAGAACACGTCTACACTGCTCTAGAGTACAAATGCTTTGCATTGCACTTGGTGATGTAAGGCTTGGATACAGCTGCTCGGCCACGGAAACCCATTCCATGAAGTTCTCTATGTGCTGTTGCTGTGCTAATCTGAAGGCCACATGAAGTTTGGAGGTCTTTTGCCACTGACTCTGCAGACAGCTGGCGACTTTGGCGCACTGTGCGCTTCAGCATGCGCTGACCCCTCTCTGTCATTTTACATGGCCTACCACTTCATGGCTGAGTTGATATTGTTTCCAGTTGCTTCCACTTGGTTATAATACCACTAACAGTTGACCGTGAAATATTTAGTAGCAAGGAAATTTCACGGATGGACTAACTGCACAGGTGGCAACTTATCACGTTACCACGCATGAATTCCCTGAGCTCCTGAGAGCGACTCATTCTTTCACAAATGTTTGTAGAAGCAGCAGTCTGCATCCCTAGGTGCTTGATTTCATACACCTGTGGCCATGGAGGTGATTGGAACACTTGAATCCAATGATTTGTAGGGTGCTCCAATATTTTTTGCAATATAGTGTATATTGAAATATTTAGATAAGCATGATAGCCAGGCAGCTGGAATGTTTTGCAAAAAGCAAAAAAACAAACAAAAAAAGGGCTATGGTTAAAAAAAAAAAAGCTGTGATTCATGGAGCATCGTATAAAGGCTATGATTTGCTACAATGCAAGCACAGGCAAGACGGGCAGAAAGTAAAACCTTACCTTGATTAACATGAATTTCTGCATTTGTTCTACCCATTCTAAGAGTATAATACTGGATTGCAGGGCTCCACATAGATATTTATGGCTTGTATATGGATTCCTCACTAGACAAAAACAGGCAATGTATGAGAAGTCAAAACTACAGAAAGGAATAATGTGTCATTGTCACTAGTTTATAGATAACAGCAACAAGCATGGAGGTGTTACCTACAGCAACTCATCGGATATCATTTCTCCAGTTCAGGCAAGAAAATGACTTAAAGCATGGGGGATGTTATCCTCAGCAACCCAATATACAATATGTAATTTCTCTAATACAGGTTATAAAAATTTACAAAATTGGATTGTAAGGGGGAACAAAAACACTTTCCTATTTCTCCATTTTTCACATTTTTTCATCTTTTCATCACTAACATAGTTATACATACAAAATGTCAGCTGATGTACCCACTGTAAGGATCATCTTCAAATTCAAGTTTTTTTTAGGACCCAGTTCACTTACCAAATGGAGTTTTAGAGCTTACTGCTCACTCTTACTCAAAATGCTGAAAGGATTGTAGGCTTAATTCATAATTATATACTGTATGTAGAAACATCAATTTTTCAGTCTGCTGACTATTCATTACAGAGCTGTCTACTTGAGTCCATGGCTTTCTGTTGTCTCCAGTCTGGACCTAGCCTGCTCACACAGACTCTACACTTGTTCAGCTCAGACTCACTGGTCTGTTCACACAGATACTACCTCTTCCTCTCGACAATCTCTGTCATGGAGGTCAAAAGTCAGTCAGTCTGGTACCTGTCTATTTAGCAACCATTTGCACAGTCAGTTAACGTACACTGCATTAATGCAGCTCATTCATTTGAATGCCCTGTGTAATGCACCATAAAAGGTGCTGTTAGCGCTTTTGGCAGCACAGCATAAGTCCTTCAGCATTGCAAAAGTACAGCACAATAATGTAAAAGGGGCCTTCAGGCCAGACAGCCCTGGAAGTGTGCTCCCAGCAGTCTTATACATCTTTACACAACTTTTTATAATGACTGAGGCATTGTTCACACCAAACGTGCTACCATCAGCAGATGCTCACAGGTGCCATTAATGGTTAATGGCGGCCCAAAAAAGGTTTGGACCACCAAGCAGCATCGTACCACAGTGCCATATATGTTAGTATGGCACAATTAAAAAGGTGACTCCTGCCATACATTTTTTTGTGCTCCGACGCATTTGCCAGCCTGTGTGTTCTGGTGTGAACTGGTCCTAAGTACAGACTCTTCCCATTTGTGGGCTAAACCCACAAGTAGATTCCAATAGGTGGCTACCTGTTCTGAGCTCTCAAGCATCCTTTCGCTGCTTGAACTACCTATCCCTCTGTCTCTCTCCACTGTGGTGGATGTAATGGCTATCACACCCCATACAGACATAAAGCAATGGTCATATGAAGCTATACAGCAGATTTCAAAGGATTTAACTCATAACTGGAACATGCACATGATAAGGATGATAGACTTCAAACACATGACTGGCAAAGATACCAGTGTTTGACAAATTCTTCATTGTTTTCCCATTTTGGAGTCCAAAATTGCTCTGTTTACAGCTTTTCTTTAGATTTTTTTTACTGTATGCTAAACAGTGCACATATGTATGTTGGGCACATAAGGGTACTTTCTGTGGTAATATCCTGAATGAACTACATCAAAGCAGTGGTTCTCACGTGACATCACTACCCCTCCTTTTCACCTTCTCCAATCAAAGAACGCAATGCATTCATTTAGAAGACGCAAACCATTCTCTGAATGGCCCCCGTGTTTAGGGGCTGAACTCCTGTGTTCAGAATGCATCGAGCCAGCCATGGGAAGCAAGTGCAGATCACTGAAATAGTAGTATTTATTTCAGTGATTTCCAGCTTTCCATGGGCATTAGCCAGGCCCAAACTGAATAGTAACTACAAAGTACAGTGCCTTGAAAAAGTATTCATACCCCTTGAAATTTTCCATTTTATTATGTTACAACAAAAACATCAATGTGTTTTATTGGGATTTTATGTGACAGACCAACACAAAGTTTCACATAATTGTTAAGTGGAAGGAATAAAAAAGAAAAATGCTTTTCAACATTGTTTACAAATACATATGTGACAAGCGTGGCATGCATTTGTTTTCAGCACCCCCTAAGTCAATACTTTGTAGAACCACCTTTCGCTGTAATTACAGCTGCAAGTCTTTTTGGGGATGTCTCTACCAGCTTTGTACAGAGAGTGAACTTTTTGCCCATTCTTCTTTGCAAAATAGCTCAAGCTCTGTCAGATTGGATAGAGAGAGTCTGTGAACAGCAAATTTCAAGTTTGCCACAGATTCACAATTGGATTTAGGCCTGGACTTTGACTGGGCCATTCTAACACATAAATATGCTTTGATCCAAACCAGGGGTCTCCAAACGTTCTAAACAAAGGGCCAGTACATTGTCCTCCAGATTTTAGGGGGGCCAGACTGTGGCCATTGGAAGTAGAAATTGTCTTGGTGTCAATGGGAGTAAACAAAGCATGTTGATATTAGGAGGAGGAATAGTGCCCCACCACTAGTGTCAGTGGGAGGAATAGTGCCCCATCATTGGCATCAATGGGAGAAATAGTGCCTCATTGCCCTGTATTTGGCTCCATCCATCTTCCCATCAACTCTGACCAGATTCCCTGTCCCTGCTGAAGAAAAGCATCCCCACAACATGTAGCTGTCACCACCATGTTTCACAGTGGGGATGGTGTGTTCAGAGCGACGTGCAGTGTTAGTTTTCCGTCACACATAGCATTTTTATTTCTGGCCAAAAAGTAACATTTTTGTCTCATCTGACCAGAGTACCTTCTTCCACGTTTGCTGTGTCCCCCACATGGCTTCTCGCAAACTGCAAATGGGACTTCTTATAGCTTTTTTTCAGCAATGGCTTTCTTTTAGACACTCTTCCATAAAGGCCAGATTTGTGGAGTGCATGACTAATAGTTGTCCTGTGGACAGATTCTCCCACCTGAGCTGTGGATCTCTGCAGCTCCTCCAGAGTTACCATGGACCTCTTGGCTTCTTCTCTGATTAATGCTCTCCTTTACTGGCCTGTCAGTTTAGGTGGACGACCATGTCTTGATATGTTTGCAGTTGTGCCATACTCTTTTCATTTTTTGGATGATGGAATGAACAGTGCTCCAGGAGATGTTCAAAGCTTGCCATATTTTTTTTAGAACCTAACCCTGCTTTAAACGTATCTACAACTTTATCCCTGACCTCTCAGGTGTGTTCCTTGGCCTTTATGATGCTGTTTGTTCACTAATGTTCTCTAACAAACCTCTGAGGGCTTCACAGAACAGCTGTATGTATACTGAGATTACATTACACACAGGTGGACTGTATTTACTAATTAGGTGACTTCTGAAGGCAATTTGTTCCTCTAGATTTTAGTTAGGGGTATCAGAGTAAAGGGGGCTGAATACAAATGTACGCCATACTTTTCACATATTTATTTGTAAAAAATTTAGAAAAACATTTATCATTTTCCTTCCACTTCACAATTATGTGCTACTTTGTGTTGGTCTATCACAAAAAATTCCAATAAAATACATTTACGTTTTTGGTTGTAACATGGTAAAATGTGGAAAATTTCAAGGGGTATGAATACTTTTTCAAGGCACTGTAACTATGTAAAAAATATACTATACCTGGAATTCATCTTTATATTTCAATATTTTTATTGAGAAACAAGCATAAAAAAGCATAAAACGAGATGGCAAAAAAAATTCCACCTACATGGTGGAACGAGATATAATAAGAAAATAAGAGGGGGGGTCAGCTGTAGGACTCTCATGATACAGTAATGTAATTAATCCAAGGCTCCCAAGTCCTCTCAAATCTGGACATATCTTCATTGACAATACTTGTCAGTTTATCGTTAACCATTATCCAGTTAAGTTTTTGTTTCACCCTAACGGGATCAAAGATTGTTTCCAACTTCTAGCTATGGTAATGCGAGCCGCCAGTAATAGGTATAAAATTAGTTTCGTGGATTTTTTTGGGGACGTCAGAGGGTAGTATATTGAACAAAGCCACTTCCGGAGATCTACGGATAATAACTCCTGTTACTGAGTATATAAAATTGAATATGCGGATCCAGAACCTACTCACAACTAGACATTTCCACCAAACGTGGAACATGGTACCCTCTTGACCACAGCGTCGGAAACAGCTAGATGACACTGAGGGATACATTATGGCTAGGCGAGTAGGAACCAAATACCATTGAAGTAACGTTTTATAGTTGGATTCAACAAGATCAGTGTTAATCGAGATCTTCGATAGAGTATGAGTAGAGTATGAATATTTCTCTGTGAGGCATCTTATAATTAGTCACAAAATATTAAGGAGACCGAGGATGAACCCCATCTAAATAGTCTCTGATACGTAACAATCCCTTATTAATCCATCACTGGAACCTCGAGGAAGACAGACCCGGGGCAAACTCAGGATTACCAAACACCGGGGCCAACGGGGTATGCGGAGAGGGGAAAGGTTTACGAGCTCGCCATCTACCAGACACCGATAATGAATATGATAGAGTAGGACACAAAATAGGAGGACGCAATCCACTGGGAAGCCACATGAGAGTACCAATAGCATATGGACGGCATGAAAGAGCCTCAATCCCAACCCATTGGGGGACATATCCCCTGGCTGTAGTACAC